ATCTAAGACTAAGGACAAACTTAGTCATAAAACTATGAGATTGTTTATATAGATTGCCCCATAAAAGACTTGGGGACTTACGATTTCAAAATCAACCCTCAAATAAAGTTAAGGGTCTGATCATAGTTTTCCAAAACAAAAACAAAATCACTCGAATGATTAAAACCGGTCAGTGAGAAGTTTGTGGAACTGAAGCAGGAGCATCAACAACAACGGGTTCAATTTGGGCAGCTGCATCAACAGATGCGGTTTCAATTTGGCTTGTAGCAACAGCTTCGATTGGGCTTGAAAGAATTGGGATACCCATATTAGCTTCAACATTCACGGGAGCTTCAGCCACGGGAGAAGGGAAGTCCCGAGTTTGTTGAGCCTTTTCAATGGTTTCGTTGATCTTAGTTAACTCCAACTCCAGGTTGAAGTTTTCTTGGCCAGCTTCAAGTAGGGTATCACGACGAGAATTCAGAAATACCCAACTTGTCTCAACAACAGATTTTTCTTCAAGGATCTCATAATCCTTTTCCCAATCAGCGATCTCATTCTTTAGCTCTTCATTTTCAACCAAGGCGGAGTTGTTGGAAGCTTGAAGAGAGGCATGGGAGCATTCTAAAGCACGCACCTTATTAGCAGAGATTCTGAGGTCTTCTTGTGTTTGAGTCAAGTTTTGCACGAGCTCTCCAGCGTAAACTTCTTTTTGATCCAAAAGAGCTTTCAACTCTCTGTTCTTTTCACTAGCTTTAGATAGTTGCTCTGAGAAGGAGGACTTGAGACATTCTTTTTCTTTTTCTGCTTGGCTTGAAGAAGCTTTTGCAACCGCCAATTCTGAAGTTAAAGCCCGCACTCGCTGCTCTAAAGTATTCTTGCTCTCTTGTAAGTCTTCTATATCAATCTGTGTACTCTCAAATTGCTCCTTCCAACTGAGAGTCACGTGTTATCTTCTCCATGAGGGGGATTCTTTTCATCATCTCTGTGCCGATAAGGTTGGCCTAAAAAGGGGAAAAAGGAATAAGAATCCTCAAAGATAGTCAAATTATAAAGCAAAAAGGGAAGAGAAGGAAAATACCTTCAAAGTAGCATGTACTATGACTCTCCAACTTGGTTTTTCCAATTGGGCCGATTAAAGGCTCCAACCATACATCTGCCTGACCTGACTTTCTCAAAAGGTTGCTCTTAGCAGGAACTTCAACAGTTACCCTCCTCATAGCGGCACTTCTACTTGAAGAGCCCACTTCTGTATGATGAACGATAGGAGGGGGAATAGTCAAAGGAGGAGCCGGAGAAGAGGTAAAAGCAGTAGAAGAAGGAACGAAAATAGCTGGGGCCGGTAAGGAAGGAACCACAAGCATGGGAGTTGAAAAAGAAGATAAGGGTATTTCGTCTAAAACAAGCCCTACATCTTCACGGCCAGATCCGCTGATGAAAAGCTGGTCAATAGACTCACGAGTATCGTGGGGAGTGACGTCATCGTCAGGAATTGTTATTGGGGTTTCAACAGGTTCGGTAAGAGAAACTGACACTTCAGCTTCGTCATCAGAGACGATGCATCTCCTAACTCGTGGCCTCGTCACCAGGGAACCCTCATCTCCCTCTTCTTCAGAGTCTTCTTCTTCTGCAGCTTTCCTTTTTGCAGAAGAAGAACCCAAAACTATTTCTCGGGCTCTTTCTAGAGAGATACGGGTTTTCGAGGGAGTATGGGTTCCCGAGGAGACACGAGAGGCCGCAACTGCTTCAGCAGTAACTCCTCGAATAGCAAATCCTGACAAAAAGAATGATAGAAATTAGAGCAATAAAAGAGAATATAGACACGAAAAGCACAAAATATAAATTCTTACCATGAGTCTTTACCTTCCAACCAAAACGGTTAGAAAGTATTTTCCAAGACCTACCATCCATCGGTGCGATCTTCAGCAATTTATCTACCCAACCATGGAAATTGGGAACATCCCTCACAACTCCCATGGTAGCTAAAAAACAACTAAAGCAAAATTAGAGAAGTTGGTAAACTTGAAGGAAAAAGGTACGAGAAGGTTAAAAGACTTACGTGCAAAATTCCACTTTCAGGGAAGAGAACATTATCCTTATCCACTAAACCAACAGTGGGGGCAGCAACAAATCGGGCATACCAGCCGCGGTCCTTGTCATCTTTAGGACTCACCAAAACCCTCTTACTCCTACTACTAGTGTAAAAACACCATTGCGAAAAATCCTAGGTGAGTAAAGATGAATCAAGTGAGAGAAAGTAAAAGGAACTTCGGCTTTAGTAGCTAAATGCCTTAAACAGGCAATATCCCTCCATATGATCGGACCAATTTGACCCAAACAGACATTGAAGAAACGGCAAAATTCGAGAATGACTGGGTCAATTGCTGGTCTGAACCCTAAATTAAAAGGGTATGTGTAAACTAAAGAGAACTCAGTTAAATAAGAAGCAATTCTCTGATTCGGATTAGGGATAATAATGGGAAAATTGTTACTCCAATGGCAGTCTTTATGAACTACAGGAGTCAAAACTTCTGTAATTTGAGTGGGGTAAGCATCGAAACAATCTAAAGCGGAAATCTGGTTTCTAAGAGATTCCCTATCATGGTAAAAAGATAATTCTGTAGGGACTATCTTTTCTACTAAAGGCTCGCGTAATGGTTCAGAAGGTTCTTTACTCCTAGAAGAAGATTTGTGAGAAAGGGAACCTCTGGTTCTAGAAGAAGGACCAGAACTAGAAGAAGGCATAGATGAACCACCTCGAGTAGATCCTAAGCTACGAAGTCTACCTACCCTTCTATGCCTAATAGGGGCATTGGGGAAAGAATCAACAATGGAGCCTTCTCGAGGGTGAGGGTTTGGTGAAGACATAGTGAAGAAGAATGATGTAAGGAAGAAGTAAACAGAGAATTAGGAAATTAAGTGTTTAATAAAACTTTATGAGGTAAAAGACAAGGAAAGAAGTTATATTTATATCGATAATCGACCGCCAAAGGTAAAAGTGCAGTGAAGGAAGGATCACAATTATGATAACTGGCACTTCGTAAATAGTGGAACCGTAAAAAACCTTGAAAAGGGCTGCAAAAACTGCAGAACCAATGGAAAATTGATACGTGTACGGAGTATTAAATGGAAGCGACAATTGAAGCGTCAATTTTGTCATAGCATTAATGGTGACAAAAATTCTCGTTTTAATGAAATCCACTTTCCAAATATTCAACTGATGAATAAATGGAAAATGGGGGGACTATCTGTATTGGGAAAAATTGCATTTATATATAAAGGTGGCGTGTCGAGACACGTGGACTGGTCAAATAGTCAAAGAATTATAATTAGTCAAGAGGCACGAGCAGCAATAGAAACGAGCAAAGGCAAAGGAAGAGGCACGGGTGGCCATTCAAGGGATTCAGTGCACATACTTATTTAAGTCATTTATGTTCAAGAATCAAAAGGAATGTATCTGACCATAGTAAAGAGTGCAAATACAGAATTTGACAGGCATTAAATATTGAATACGTTAGAAAATTTGTATTGATTATAATGATTATGTAATATAGCATTCAATGTCTTTAATTATTCATAATAGCCTCATTATGATTTGGGTAAAACGCATATCTTCAAGATATTTATAAAAGGGAGGTATCTGATCAATTGTAAGGACATGAGATATTATTGGAATATATTTTGGTTTACTTGTTTTTCTCCTTATTATACTCTGGTTACCCCAAATTACTTTCTTTTGCATATTCTTTTGATTATTAGTAACCCGTGTTCTTCTAAATTCTAGCTTTGACTGAAATTTCTTTTTTTGGTTAAACAGACATTTTAAAGCTACCTGAAGCTATAAAGATTTAACTCTAAGACAGACATTTGAAAGCTACCTACAAAAATAAATTCTTTCAAGATTGATGGAAGAGCTTTTTAATTATAGCTTGTTTTGTAGATTTATTTTCTTACTAGCGATATAACGCTTGAATTGGTGAAGATTCGTGTCCAAATTTTTAGCAAAAAGTTATCCAATAATTTTTCCTGGAAGACAATCTAAGAGCTTAACAGTTAAATTTTCTATCTAAATATTTTTTTTGGAATTTGTCTAATGGAATAGATATCATGCGCAAATATTCAAATCTTATATATTATGCAAGATAGAAACTTTGTTTAATGGAAAAGATTGTGTGCAAATTTTTAAAATTATTATTAGTAATTTTAATAATTCTATATGGCTGTTATAGAGGGGTAATTTTACAAAGAACGTTCTTCAATAAATATGGTTGTTGTTGTTATAAGTAAAAAAGTTGTTATAGAGAACTAAAATATAACTTAAAAAATCGATTATGAAGAAAATCTGACTTTTATAGTGAATAGTTGTTATATAGGGATGTTGTTATAGAGAGCTCTAACTGTATTTTTTTATTATGTTTTCAAAGTCATATCGTTTATTTTACTTTTATCAAATAAAGTAACAGTCACTAATTATTCACTTCGTCAACAAATAAGTGGATCAATATTAATTTTTGTAGGTCACACGTTCGAGCATTGGAAACAGTCACTAAATTGTTGTGTGGCCTTTCCCTAGACTAAGTTGTGTACGCAGGATACCTTGTACACCAGGCTGTCCTTAAATATTAATCTTTGTAGGAAAATGGATCTGCATCAATTTGTAATGAATGTCAAGATTCCATTCTTACCCTACTTTATTTGCTCGCTCTCTTTCAAGTATTAATTCCAGCTTTGATTTTTTAAGTTAATTCTATGGGAATGAACAGACTTGGGAAGTTCAAGAAAAAGTCCTTTGAGTTACTCAAGAAAAAGGCCTATTGGCTTCTTCTGAACTAAGATCTACATTAATATCCATTTAGTCCTCTTCTTCTATTTATAGATCCTCATTTCATGTTCAGTAAGATAGAATTGTAAAATATTTCAGAGAAGAAAGTATGAGTCAATGCAATGTAGCTAGAAATGTGAGGAAGTTTACCAATATTAGTAACTTACCAACTAACATACTACATAGAATTCTTGAGCTTATGCCCATTAAATATGCTGCAAGAACTAGCATCTTATCGAAGCAATGGAGAAAGTTATGGTCTACACAGCCACACCTTGTGTTTGACTCCCTGTTTTTTGGTTATGTATCTAATATTGTTGGGGCTTCTCCTGCAAGCATAATTCATAAAATTCTCATGCAACATATTGGACCTATTCTAGGATTTCATCTCATCTCGAAGTTACATGAACTGTCACAGTCAGATTTCGATCAGTGCATCATCTTTGTCTCGAATCATGGTATCGAGAAGTTCACTCTAGATGTGTCCAACGTTGAGAAAGATGCATTGCCTTGCAGCATATTTACTTGTTCAATGTTGACACATTTGAAAGCTCTCGAGGTGTGTCTTTAAGGTACCTGATAATACCCTATTCCCTAATCTTGTTAGCCTTCAGTTGGAACATTCTGAACTTGACGGTCAAGTAGGATCAATCGATCTTATTCTGCCAATGCTTGATACATTGGAGTTAAGATTTTGTGTTGGTGTTGATTGTGTTAATATAGTTTCTCCGAATCTTGTGAACTTGTCTATCCTGAGCAGCTGTACAGTAACATTTCAATGTTTTAATGTGAACCCAATCTTTGAAAGGATTAAGCACCTCTGCTTGGATGGACCATCCCTAAAGGTTAGAACATCATTTTACTTGTTTCTGATTCGCAGTTTTTTCGCTATATGAATTATGTGATTTCATTTTTTTGTGATTTTTTCAGAACTTAGGGTCGTTTCCTGTGCTAGATATGCTTGATGTATCACTAAATCTCCAACACCTGAAAATTTATGACTTGAAGATTTCTGTTAAACGTATTTCTAGCGCAATTTGTCTCCTGCAGAGCTCTCCCAATCTTCGTGATCTTGACATGGATGAAGTTGTGAAGGTAAGACATATTGTGACTTACAAGTATAGCGGCCAGTTTATCACCCTTTGTCGGAAAATTTTACTGTGTATTATATCAAATATTACTTTTTGTACATATATGTAGATCGTGAACAACCTCAGTTCTATGTATATATGTATCTACAGACTTCAGGAATGGAGGTTGACTGACTTGTGCTATATGATTCTTTCTGTAGGTTGATGATGAGAAAGTGAGTCACAGAACGGAATTGATTCTTATTTGTCGGAGGCACAAAACCAAGTGAGTGAAGCTCTGAGCATGATTCGAACGGTGAGGTTAAGGAAATTCAAGGGTTCAAGTATTGATATGAGTTTAATAGAACGCATCCTTTGCAATACTCCAAAACTTGAGAGGATGATCATTAAACAGATCGAGAACGAAAATGCCACAAGCTGTAATCAACGTTTGAAGGAACTCATAAACTATCCTCGGGCATCACCAAAAGCAAAAATTAAGTACTTAGACTGATTCCAATGGCGTTTTACGACTTCTTTGTTGAGTGCATTTGAATCTGCAGATGCATCACAACTTAATTGGCTGAGTCCCAGTTTTGGTTTTTTCGTTTTATACAGGCGCTGTCTACAAAGTTTACCTTATTATTATTCGTAGTGTTTTGGCATTATTATAAAGCTAGTGATCAAGATTTGGTCTTTTATACTGACCAACAAATATTTTGTTGCGATTGATTTGATACATTAGTCAATGCAGTGGCGAAGCCAGAAATTTCTTCAAGGGTGTTCAAACTTGAACTAAGTGAATTTTATTTCCTACAAAGAGTGTTTAATGTATGTTATATACCTCTAAAACCTAGTATTTTACCTATATATATATATTGTAATTTTTCGGTGAATTGACCACCCTTAAGTGAGTGTAGCTTCGCCCATGAGTCAATGTATTCTTTCTTCTTCATTATTTCTTTTATTCATTTAAAGCTGTTTTGCAGTTTTATCAGTTTGATGGATTTAGAGTTGTAGCCTAGTAGTGATGAATCCATCTTATCATTGGAATGTATGATTTCAATTTCGTCGAAAATGTCACCCTAATTTACCTTCCTCAGTCCATCCGCCCTAAGAAAAGATTTGAACTATTTTAATTTGGTAAGTCTTTCTTGCTCTGCTTTTAAATTGCTGTTCCATTTTCTTGGTGGTACAAAGGAAAATATCCAACTATAAGAATGGGGACAAGTTTTGTATTTCAAAATAGACAATATGAATTAGGTGATTATTTTCATCTACCTAAGCTTTCAGAACGATTAGTGGCATCCTCTGGTTGCTCAATAAAGACCCGCCCCACTTCCTATTATATCCAACCGACCTAACTTTATTGTGACGATCTGACCCGTCGTCTCATGAGTCACCGCTCCGTTTTCCTCATTTCTGTTTTCTTTATGCTTTGTTATCCGTGTTTTATGTGGTCGAGTTGATTGGGTTGCGTTTGGAGTGGTTTTGATAAGAAATGAGACATTTAGTCTCTTTTAAGAAGGCTTAAGTTGGAAAAGTCAACCGGACGTTGACTTATGAGTTAGAGGACTCGGATGTGAATTCTGATGGTTCGGTTAGCTCCGGGAGGTGATTTGTGACTTAGGAGTGTGATCGGAAGTGGTATCGGAGGAACGGTGTAGAATTAGGCTTGAATTGACGAAGTTAGTATTTTGGCGAATTCCGGTTGATAGGTGAGATTTTGATCCGAGGGTCGGAATGGAATTCCGAGAGTTGATGTAGCTTCGTAGGGTGATTTGGGATATGTGTGCAAAATTTCAGGTCATTCGGAGGTGATTTGGTTGGATTTTTGATCAAATGTGTGTTTCGGAAGTTTTGCAAGAACTTAGGCTTGAATTCGATGTAATTTGATGGTTTTGGTGTTATTTGAGGTGTTTTGATGATTGAAACAAGTTTGGATGATGTTTTAGGATGTGTTGGTGCTTTTGGTTGAGGTCCCGGGGGCCTCGGGTGAGTTTTGGGTGGTTAATGGATCGAATTTGGGTAAAAAGCTACTGCAGGTTGCTGGTATCTGGTTTCCTTCTTCGCGAACACGAAGGGAGTCTCGCGAACGCGAAGAGGAAAATGGGAGAATGTTGATCTGGCCTTCGCAAACGCGAAGAGGGATTCGCGAATGCGAAGGAGTGGGCTAAGGTTCTAAGCAAACGCAAGAGAGTAATCGCGAACGCGTAGAAGGAAAATTGGGCCTGGGGTCATTTGGCCTACGAGAACCGAGGCTTGCTACGCGAAAGCGAAGGGCGTGGGCAATTGGCCTTCGCGAATGCAAGACCTGGAACACGAACGTGAAGGGTCTGGGAGATTGGTCTTCGCGAACGCAATCTACAGTACGCGAACGCGAAGAAGAAAAGTTCTGGGCAGAATGTTAAGTTCTGAAAATGGGACTTCGTTCCCATTTTCCATTTTTGATGATTTGGAACTCGGGTAAGGCGATTTTTCAAGAGATTTTCGGAGAAAACAACAGGGAAAGTGTTCTTAACTCAATTTTGGTTGGATAACTTGAATCTATTACTAGTTTTGGCATTTAATCCCGAATTTTGTTGGAAAAGTTTTGAAAACCCTCTTGGATAGAATTACGGATTTGAGGGTCGAAATGTGATGGGATTTGGATAATCTTGGTATGGTTAGACTCGTGGGGAGATAAGAAACCCGTTGATGTAAAAATTTCTGAATTTCGGGACGTGGGCCCAGGGCTCGAATTTTCGCTAATTTCGAGAATTTTGGTATTTTTCGATTGTTTTGATTGGGCTTTGTTCCCATAACATATTTTAATGTATTCGTTCTGATTTTGGATAGATTCGACGCACGTGGAGGCCAATTTGAGGGGCAAAGGCGTCGCGAGCTAAAGAAGTAGCCGGTTCAAGGTGAGTAATGATTGTAAATGATGTCCTGAGGGTTTGAAACCCCGGATTGCACATCGTACTGCTATATTGAGGTGAGACATGCGCTGGATAATGAACGCGGGGTCTTTTACTACTGGGGATTGTGACTTGGTCTATCCCGATTAATGATTTTACCGCATATTTGACTGAAACTGATTTGTTATCATCCTTATTTGGGCTGATTGCCATATTTGGGCTTCGTGCCAATTATCTAAACCCTTCGGGGATTTTTATCACTATTTCCTCACTGTTTTGACTTATATTTAAACTCAGTCCTGTTGATAATTATTGTTTTACAAACTCAGCCACTTATATACATATTTGAAACTTAAATGATATTTCTAAATTATATTTTGCGCTGAGAACTGCTGTTTTACAAATGCCCGAAGGGGCTTTTGATGATTTCCGGACTGAGTGAGGCCGAGGGCCATATGTGAGGATATGTTGAGTGGTATGAGGCCGAGGGCCTGAGTTACTATTTATGCCACGCGGTGGCTTGAGTGATGTGAGGATATGTTGAGTGATGATGCCACAAGGTGGCTTGATATAGCGATTGGTCCGTAAGGGGCCCCTCCGGAGTCTGCACACCCACAGTGAGTGCGGGTACCCATTGTTCTGAGTGATTGATACTATGCCGGAGATGCTGATATGAGTGATTGTAAGGTAGCCCGATGGGCTAATACTATTCTAACAGTGAGTCCGCGGGACTGATACTGTTCTGAGAGTGAGCCAAAGGGGCTGATATTGTATTGAGTGACTGATACTGTGCAAGAAGGGCATATTTCTACTTGTTATTTTGATACTGAGCCCGAGGGGCAAATTTCTACTTATTATTTATTGCCAAATTACCTGTTTTACTTGTTTTAAAAGAGATTTCATTTGATACTTCACTGATTTACTGGTTTTAAGTGATTTCACTGCTTTTGTATAGAATGCTTTGTGCCTTTACGTGTTTTCTTGCTTTCAGCCATTATTTATATTTATTACTCACTGGGTCGGAGTACTCACATTACTCCTTGCACCGTGTGTACAGATTCAGGCATAGCAGATTTCCACTCCTGAGAGCTGATCCTTCCAGTCCAGGCGGTGTTTCGAAGACTACGAGGTAGCTGTTGGCGTCTGTAGCCCCCGTGACTCCCTTATCTTATCATTTCCATGTTATTCAAACTATTGTATCAAATTTCGTATTTAGTAGACTTGTATCAGGATTCTTTAGTTGCTCATGACTTGTGACACCCCGGTTAGGGCTGTGTCGGGTTGGATTTCCGCACTTTTATCTATACTTTCCGCTATTTGGTATTATTAAACCATGTCTATACTATAATTGTGTTAACTTACTGTTTTAAAGGACGAATTGGGTTAGAATGGCTGGCCTTGTCTTTACGAGAGGCACCATCACGACCAGGTTCGGGATTTGGGTCGTAACAAGTTGGAATCAGAGCCTAGGTTACATAGGTCTCGCGAGTCATGAGCAGGTTTAGTAGAGTCTCGCGGATCGGTATGGAGACGTCTGTATTTATCCTCGAGAGGCTGCAGAACCTTTAGGAAAACTTCGTATTCTTAAAATTCTTGTCGTGCGACTTTGTTGATCCGAGAACTGAACTTCTGTATTCTATTCTATTGCAGATGGCGAGAACTCGTGCTACCGGACGAGGTGGACGACCACCAGTGCCACCAGCTATGACCACCAGAGGTCAAGGACGTGGTCGTGGTAGGGGCAGGGTAGCGAGAGCAGCACCTATTGATCAACCAGTAGCCCCAGCCCAGGATCAGGCACCAGCTGTGCCTATTGTGATTCCGGGTCTTCAAGAGGCCTTGGCTCAGATCTTATCAGTTTGTGCTGGCCTGGCTCAGGCGGTTTCGGCCACTACAGCCGCAGCTACTTCACAGGATAGGGAAGGCATCCAGACTCCTGTTAATCGCGCACCTGAACAGGTAGTGCAGGGACTTCAGACGCCAGAGACACCTCCAGCCCAGCCAGTTGCACCAGCTCAGGGGTTTATAGTACCAGTTATGCCAGATGATGAGCAGCGTCGACTTAAGAGGTTTGGTAGACTTCAGCCTCCGTCATTCAGTGGTGTTGAGGGCGAGGATGCCCAGGGTTTTCTTGACAAGTGTCGGGGGATGCTCCGTACATCAGGGATCCTCGAGACTAGTGGTGTAGCATTTAACACCTTCCAGTTTACTGGGGCTGCCTTCACTTGGTGGGAGGCGTATGAGAGGCATACGCCAGTTGGTGCAGCGCCCCTTACTTAGCAGGAGTTCTTGACTCTCTTCTTGGAGAAGTATATACCGCAGTCCCGCAAGGAGGAGTTGCGTAGACAGTTCGAGTGGCTGAAGCAGGGAGATATGACTGTGTCACAGTA